CTCAGAGATCTCATTTGTTTGTGCCATAATGTTTGTTACACTTCCACAAACATGATCAAACTTTGATAGATCCCTGTTCTTTAAATAAAACAGGGCACACACTGACACCTGATAGTCATCTCACTGATTAAAAACACCTCTGAACAGATGGACTCCAATTTCACCTTCAAATTAACAGCTAATCCTAGAGATTCACATACTTTTGCCGCTCACAGATATGTAATATTGGATCATTTTCCTGAATAAGTAAATGACACAGTATATATTTTCATCTCATTTGTTTGATTGGGTTCTCTTTGTGAACTTTCAGGACTTTCAGAATCTGATGATTTTTTTGGGTTATATTTATGCAGAAATATAGACAATTCTAAAGGTTTCACAATCTTTCAAGCAGCACTGTATATTTATCTGAGCAGATTCAGTCAATCTTGACACACCTCACACCACAGGAATATTTTATTGGAAATCTCATTCATCTGTAGCACAATCAAGGTAATCAAGATAAGACTTTACCTAGGATTGTCTGAAGTGGAAATTTGAGATTATCTTGTAGTGTGTGACTGCCTTTAGCTCTCGTCACTGTAATTACTGCATGGTTCATGGATGGTTATACAATCTACAGGGTCATAGGCGATATGATAAAAGTTATTACTATATTGTTGGTATAGTATTGCTGGTATTGTTGAATACCCCTGCTGTACACTTACCGTAACAAAGTGCTAAAACTGTTTCTCTATCATATTTACTTGTTGGTGCGTGACTGTTGCTGCCCTTGACATTTTCAGAATTTTCAGATCCGAGTCCTTTCAAAACCTGAGCTAGAAATAAAATTAATGATTAATTCCCTTATAGAATTAACGACTTAAATTACAGTTAAGTCCCTACACACTACTACTGTCTTTTACAGAACCACACTCTACATGGGCTTGGTTGGGGACCCACTGGAGATTCATTCAAAGACTTTGCTATTACAGAGAAACCTTTAGTAGCAACTACGGGTATATGTGAAGAGAAGACCCTTGTTGAGACAGCGTTTTGCTTGGCACTAAGGGGGAGCATGCTCTCTTACCAGCAGCCTATATTGCCCACGAGGTCCGTCAACATGCACCAAGATTGTTTACCTTCCCTACCACTGCCTCTTGGGGAGTACAGGCTTGATCCTACAGAATGCGTGCATGTGTGCACTGAGGAGGAGCACTTCCACTTTAAGAGCTTGATGGTCAGACTGGACATGGCCTGTAAGATTGAGACTGCCACAAGAGAGCGAGCAGCAGAACAGAAGTGGCATCAGCTCCGTAGGCCTAGGATCACCTCTTCACATTTCAGAGAGGTGTGTTTTGTCAGGGGAGTCAGTTCTGCAGCGTCTCTTGCTGAAAGAATCCTCAAAGGAACAAAGCTGACCGCCGAAATGAAAAGAGGTGCAGACATGGAGATTGAGGCTGCAGTGGAGTACTGCAGGATGAAAATGACAACTACACACCCTGCGGCCTCATCATCCACCACAATGCCCCTTGGCTTGGTGCCTCACCATTTATGATCCATCCACACAGCCCCCATTTGGACTGGTTGAGATCAAAGGCCCTAATGTAAAGAGCTACATGAACTGTAAATATCTTCAAACGCAGCATGGCATTTCTGCACTCCATGAAAGCCACTCATATTTCTGGCAGATCCAGGGTCAACTGTTGCTCACTGGCCTGCAGTGATTTTGTGATCTGTGTCCATGCTGCTGCTGGACACTAAACACCGTAAGAGCCGCTCTTGACAGTCGCTGTAGCACGGTCTCGTGTTGTTTCCACCAGCGCGGCAATTTTTCATCACTAATTGATGGATGTCTAAAATATAAAAATAAGGAGAATGCTAAAACAGGCCCGAGGCCCGGCCCGGCCCGCGTCTGAACTATGACGTGAAAATTGGCCCGAAGCCCGGCCCGTCGGGCCCGGGCTGAAATGCAGGGCTCTAACTCACATCACATGCTGTATTTACTGACTGTGAATGGAGCCGCTCTGAGACGTCAGTCATCAGCTGCGCGCGTGAACACTGCGCTTTGCGTGGAATCCACCGCAACCATCCTTTGCCAAATGATAAGCACACTACTATATTGTGGTTTTATATTCTGTTCGATTAGTATTCATTACAAAACTGTGGGGGGACAGATTATTTTATGACGGTTCATCATTGTATAATAGACATTTGATATAGAGTGAAATAAAGCAGGAAAAAATCAGTTTATAAAGGCTATTATTCACCTCCTGTATGTGCTTTAAGTCTTCGACGTAGACATTTTAATCTTTGTTTTGCGTACGTATTTAGCTACTGGAAAAGCTGCACTGTTTTTAAAGTAGCTGAGCTACCGTCACATACTGAAAATGTAGTTGCTTTAGTAGTGTTGCTACTACTCCCCAACACTGCATATGTTGACCCGAAGGTAACAGCAGCCATTACAGAGAGGGTGGACCAGTTTTATTTTAATGTGTATATGCCAAAATACCTGTCTTTCTGCAAAAGGTTGTAATGACTGGGATAATGTTAGTTGTTAAAGAGTTAGTTCATCCACAATTTTTTTTTTATATATATATAATTTTCATCACCCTCAATTTGTTCCAAACCTGCATGAGTGTCTTTCTTCTGCTGAACACTAAATATTTTGAAGAATGATGGTAACCAGATGATTCGACTGTAGACATTGACTTCCATAGTATTTTTTTCCCCACATGGAGGTCAAAGGCTACTGTCAACTGCCTGGTTACCAGCCTTCTTTAAAATATTTCCTTTTGTGTCCAACAGAAGAAAGAAACTTATGCAGGTTTGGAACAACCTGAAGGTGAATAGATGACAAAAAATATTGGGTAAACTAACCCTTTAAGTTGGTTTCTTGACCATTTGTATTTTTCATATTTTAATAATGTCAAATAGTTTGTTCTCTTTGCCCCGACATCGCGCATTGAGGTACACAGCAGAAATTATTGTTAGGATTTTTCCGCTTCTGATATTTTATAGCTTTTGAAAAAGGCATTTTCTTCACACAAACATTCAGATATCAAAATAAAATAGAACATAACACAAATAATAATAATACAAATAACATTAACAAACTTGTCAGTTTAAATCTACATCAAAGACCCACCTCTTTAACCTGGCTTACACATAACACACTCACATTTATAATATTCAAATCCGTTAAAGGATTGTTAAGCTGCATTAATTAAGTCAACCGGGAACACTTCCCATAACACCCGATGTACTTGATACTTCCTCTACGCTAATATTAGACTGTTTCATTTTTATTCCGAGGTTACTGGTTCTTGCCTGTCTCAAGACCAGATGGTGGGCCTGCTCCCGGGAATGACCACAACACAGACATGGCCAGCAAAGTCCTCCATGAGACGGGCCATTAGGACAGATGCGCAAGCGTGGACATCAGTGACAGACTATGACTGCATAATGACTGGACCTCTTCTTTCTTTTTTAACTTTGAAAACTTATATATTTTTCTGATGAAATGCAAATAAGGTTAATTTTATTCAAACTATTAATTTAAATACTTTTTACATACAATTTAATTAACCACAACTCAAAATTAAAAGTCCTGAAAACTTAATATTTTAAAGAATTGAACTACATAATTTTTAAATTATACATAAAAGTGGGTAGTAATGTTACGTACATTTGTGGCAAGCGATTGTCTTTTTTTAATGTTTAATTAAAGTAAAGTTTAACATATTACAACCTAAATGCATTTTTAACAACAAATTTAACTAAAGGAAAGCTCACCCAAAAGTGAAAATGTTATTTTAATTTACTCAGACCATCAAATTCTTTTATTTGTATTTATTTACTTTTTATAACTAAACATTTCATTGAAATAATAATTTCTCCAATAATAAAACTTTAAATAAAACTGCTGACACGTGTTTTATTATTTGTATGTGTTTTCTGTATGAACATTTCTATGCACGTCTATAAACCATATTAAACCAAGCGTTTGAACAGGACTTTTATTTTAGGACTTTTAGTGTGGCGATGTGACGTCATATGTCTGCGCCGCGCTATTGCGTGTGTTGTGACTCGGCTGAAGAAAGGTTTGTGTTTTTAAGCGTTTAAAGTGTTTAACCTTAATGAACGTTATTTTGTGAGTAAAACAGTACAGTAACAGAAGATGTGCGCCTCATTGTGATCCCTGTATTGTGAATCCGTTAAACGTAAACACGAATTCGGCCTCTAGCCATAATGATGACCATAGACTGTATAAAAACAGATGATGACAGAAAAGGAGCTTTCAAACTACGAGTCAACTGAATCAATTGCTTAAAAAATGATTCACTCGCTCGAATCACCACACGCTGACGAGAACTGCAGGCTCAAAACACTGGAAATGCAACGAGAACAACAAACAAACGTGAATAATGACAGCTTTTACAAACAAATAGCAAATGTTTTTAGGAACTGTAGTTAATGTAATGTGAAAATCATTAAATACCAACTAGGCCTATAATTTATGCTCTTTTACTCATTTGTTGTGCTACTTTTTTTAATCAGCTCGTTTAAGGCCATTAACTATCATTCCGACTGACTCTCTTACTGAGTTGTTGACTACTGACCTAGGGAGCTGATTGAGACACACCCAGAGATTTGATTTGCATTTATTTTGATAACACGTTAGAATAAGGAACATACATTCACTATTAATTAAGAGTTTTCCCTCAATAAACTCCCAATTAGCTGCTCATTAATAGTAAGGTAGTTGATAAGTTTAGGTATGGGTTGGATTAAGGGATCTAAAATATGGTCACGCAGAATAAGACATTAATATGTGCTTTATAAGTACTAATAAACAGCCACTATGCTAAAGTGCTACCTTTTTTTTCTTTCTGTTAATTGTTCCCATATTAAACATGACAGAGAGTCCAAATGCACACAAAAAAAACCTCCTGCTGAAGCAGCTGAGATCCACGTCACAGGCTACTGTTATAACGATGGCGTTTATTAAAGAGGAGACTGAAGACATTAAGATTGAAGCCGCAATCACAGCGAAACAAGAAGATACTGAAGAACAAACAGGTTGGTTTTCATTCTCAAAGCTGAACTTAGTCATTTGATCCTTATTAAAATATCCAGCTCTACAGACTTCTTGTCACAGCTTTATTTACACATTTTGATTTTCAATACTTTGGACTAATCGACTTCCAAGTGTTTGTTCATCAGTCCCTGTGTAAGAAATGACACTTTATGATTTGCTCCTAATTAAGTGATTAAAAGCATTTGCAAAAGTTTTATAATGTACACATTTTCCTCTCTGGGAAAAAAAACCAAAACATTTACTACCAAATTATACACTGCCTGGCCAAAAATAATAATAATTTGGCACATGGCAATATTTTAGGATCTGATCATTATTGCAGTGATTAATATGTTTCTGGCATGATCCATGTCGCACAGTGTGATTTGTAATGATCTTATAGGATTGATAAAATCGTGCAGTGTGTAGAAGGCTTTATGCTGGTTTTGATGTCTCTTGCTTTATGCCATTAAAGTGGTATTAATATATGTTTCTCTTTAGACCTAATGACGTTGAAAGAGGAGCGTGATGTACTAAATGAATCGGAAGAGCAAAGTCGGTTTGAGAAACATCATGATTTCATTACTGGGGAAAAGTCCACAAAGACTGAAATGGAGTCCTCACCAAAAACAGCTCAGAAGACCGAATCTAACAATTACTTCAGCTGCCGTCAATGTGGAAAGAGTTTCAGTAAAAAACGAAATCTTGAAGTCCACATGAGAATTCACACGGGAGAGAAGCCCTTCACCTGCCAACAGTGTAAAAAAAGTTTCACTCAAAAACAAAACCTTAATGTCCACATGAGAATTCACACTGGAGAGAAGCCCTTCACCTGCCAACAGTGTGGGCAGAGTTTTACGAATAAAGGAAACCTTAATGCCCACCTGAGAAGTCACACCGGAGAGAAGCCATTCACCTGCCAGCACTGTGGGAAGAGCTTTACACAAAAAGTAAACCTTGAGGTTCACCTGAGGCTTCACACCGGAGAGAGGCCTTTCATGTGTCTTCAGTGTGAGAAGAGTTTCATATATAAAAGGGACTTGAAACGGCATTTGCCAATCCATTCTAGAAAGAATTCGAAGTGTTCTGAGTGTGAGAGGTTTAGAAAAAGAAGACATTTCAAAAATCACCTTTGCATTCAGTCTGGAGCAAGGCGGATTAATTGTGATCTGTGTCATAAAAAAATTATTTTGCCGTCACACAGAAAAAGTCTTCACACCTGGAAAGTCACACGTATGTGAGGCCCTGTTGGTGTTCTTTGTGTGGAGAGAGTTTTAAGTAGCTGCAAAATTTATAATGGCACCAGAAAATATGTATCTGTGTACAATTAAAGCTAAGGTAGACAGTTTCTATGCTACTAGTGTCACCTAGTGGAACTATAAAAATAAAGATGTTTTCAAACGCCCTTTAGAAATGTCATACCTCCCCTAACTTAAACATGGCAAATACAGCTCTTACGGGTCTATAAAGGTGAAGGCATGTCGCAGCAGGTTTTTGGAGGCTACTTTCAACAAATGGTCTAGCATGTTAGAAACACATGTAACTTGAAGTTTAGCTTGTGTTGAAAAAAAAAAAAAAAAACTACTGAAACCCAAACATTCCATCAAATGATTTTGTTTTCCTACACCAGCTAAACAGCCTCTGTTTCTGCTGCTACAGTAGCCATGCCTCAAACTCTCACTATTGGCTGCTTTGAGGTATGCAAGCGCATAGGTTGACAGGCAGGTAGGACGACCTATCATGATTTGATGAACATTTTATGATCCTAAAGCTTGGGAAGCACCAAGCCGACGGTCAGCCGGCTAAAATCAGGCAGTACGTGTTTATTGAACTGTTGTATTAAATCAATATCAAATTTGCAAACTCCTTATCGCGATCTGTGGGCGCACAGAAAATAAGAGTTCTCAAGACTCAAAAGTACTTGCAAATGATAAGTTCCGTCATCTGTCATCGCGTTATAAGCGCGGAACCTGCGGGAATGAGTATAGTTATTATTAATAAGTCAGAGCAGTTCTGGAGATGTTGTTCATGTGTATTTATGTCCTCGTAGTGAGACGACAGAAGCTGAAATCAACGCGAGCGTCGCACACTTTGTGTAGAAAACAAAACCGCTCGTCTGTGTCATTTACAGGTGGCGCTTTTCGCCAGGAATATAGCCGTTTCCCCGGTAACCGCAGTAAACAAAGCAGCACAGCACCTGACTTTGAAACTTGCAGCGCTCATATTTAATAAATTAAACCATAGCCTTTTGAAGTGTAAGTTATATCTCAATTTACATGTATATTTAGTTTTTTTCACTGGAGCACCACCTGAGTCTTCTCCTCCCATTTCTACCAGTGATCATTGTTTCCTTCCCGCGGTATTACCAGCGCACATATAGCATCACTGGGCTGTAGGTTGCCAAGTTTAGGGGACAAATGGGTTGACATTTGTATGCGTCGATCGTGTGAGAAAGATGTGTTTCATACAAGATCTGGCAACTGGACAACCTTGGAATTTGTTGACTTGATAATTCATATAATGAGGTTTGGCTCATACAAATTACGAGAGTTTTACTGGAAGCAAATGTAACAAACATATAAAATACGCCCAGTGGGACTTTTTTTTAATAGAAAGATTAAAAATACGGGAAAATATTTAAACGGGATGATAGCGGGATAGAATGGTAAAAATACAGGAGAATCCCGGGAAAAACGGGAGGGTTGACAGGCATGTTTCTGGGCCCACTGGTTAACGTGTACTCTAGGCCCCAAGGCCCCATCCCCCAATTATCTTACCTTCTTGCCACATATAGCAACAATCAATATCAATAAGCATTAGAATTATTGCATATTCAATGAGAGACAATAAAGAACTAAATTTAAACAGTTTATTAAGTTAACTTAAATTATGCATTTAGAAACATAATATACAAATAATTATATACTGTAAACAGTACACAAAATTAACACCATTGTATTGTCTCTCTCATACACAGACAATAATGAAACGCTTTCTTAATGTCTTATAAGCTGTATTATTCCCCAAGAGCCAAACAGTGTGTTTTTCTCACAGCAACATCTTTGATTAGATCTTTGAAATCAAGCCGTCTTGCTAAATCGTGTTCAATAGAGAGCATGGCTAGACCATTTAGTCTTTCCTGAGACACTGTTGTTCTGAGGTAGTTCTTTATAAGATTAAGCTTACTGATGGCTCTCTCTCCACTTGCAACACTCACAGGCAGAGTGAAAAATATGCGCAAGGCAACGCACACTTCACTGAAAATACTCTGAAGCTGCATCTTGTAGATTTGATTCAAAAGCTCAAGTGGGAACAACTCTGAAGGGAAAGTAGCTGCATATACAGCATTGAGATGTCTCATCTCAGATCACTGTGGTATTTTTGTATTAGTGGATGGCACAAAACTGAGACAGTACTCACTCATACGCCCTATTTGCAGGACCCTATGTACTATTCGTTTCTAAGATTTCTCCAACCACTTTGAGTGATTTGGAAGACTTGATGTTGTGGTGCTCAGATATTATGTTATTCATTTTTAGGTTATTTTCATTACAAATTCACTTTGAAACGATATAACAGCATGACCATCGCAATTATTCTCCCTTCGAAGTGCCCTACGAAAACATTATTTATGCTGGTTGGAACGCAGCCTTGGTTTGGTTTGTGCGAAGAAAAGGTCAGTTTGCAAGTGAGTATCTTTGTTAAAACATTCCCAAAGACAAATTTCTCATAAAAATATTTGTAACATAGTATGTTAGAGATTTTCACTTATAGTGAATGTTATCTGTACTGTTCACGTAGGCTATTCAATATATACAGTGCATAGAGTGTTAAGCGCTAAGAAAATGTAAAATTCATACATTAACATAGGGTAGACCTATTTAAAATATCACTCAATATATATTCAATGAATGTTCCCAAATAAATGTAAAACAATGCTATAAATAAGTAAGTGGTAAAGTGGACTTTTTGTGTTGTGTTCACAGAAGTAGAATATGGAATATTCTCATAGGCTTTATAAACAACAAATATAACCTACTACTTGTTTGCAAAATTATTTAAATTAAGTCTGCAGGTGGAAACCATATACGCAAATAAACAAAATATTTATTAACACAAGTGTCAGATTCATTTAAACAAAAAATACAGTATCCAAACTGTCAAAAATTAACTAACCAAACATATTCTGAATTAACAGTTGTCTGACTTCTGCTCCTGCAGGATGCATTCTGCCTTGATGTGTGTTCAAAGGATCATCATCATCATCATCAGAAGTGCCATCTTCCTCACCATCAGCACCAGCAAGACCCCCCTCTTCCTCATCAAGAAGCTGGACATTTTCCTTGACTGCAATGTTGTGGAGAATTGCAGTTACTACAGTTACAGAGCAGCTTTTGGAGGGGTTCAGCTTCAGGCCACCACTGGACTTGCTGATACAGCGAAACCGTTGTTTCCACAGTCCTATAGCTCTCTCCACTGTAGAGCGTGTCCTTCCATGGGCCTGATTAAATCTTTCCTCTGCAATGGTGACTGGATGCTGCACAGGTGTTATGAGGTATGGGCGAAGAGGATAGCCACTGTCTCCCAGCAGCCAGCTATCCCCAAAGCCACCCTCTTCAGCCCCTTGGCAAATTGCAGAATTGGCCCATACAAAAGAGTCATGTGTGCTCCCAGGCCACTTTGCAACAATGTCAGTAAACATCCCCTGGTGATTGCACACTATTTAAACATTAATAGCTGGATAGCCCTTCCTGCAAATGTATATTGGCTCATTTACAACAGGGCTAGCCACTGGGATAAGGGTGCCATCAATGATGCCAATCAATCTGGGGATGCTGGCAATAATATAAAACTGTCGATTGGCCTGCTGGATTTCTTCTGGTGTTTTGGGGAAAGCCAGGATGTTCTTCATAAGCTGCAAAAGCAAAGGTGTTACTGCTGTCACAGTTTTGCTGACTGAAGACTTGCTGAGCCCCAGGCCATCACCCACCACCTCCATAAAACTTCCAACAGCATAAAAATGCAGTGTAGCTAACAACTGCACCGCTGAACTTAAGGCATAGTTTCTTCTTGTGGCCCTCTGAAGGTGTGGTTTCACAATCTGAAGTAATTCAAGGATCTTGTTCCTTGGAAGCCGGACTTTTCTCAAGATGGCATCATCAGATAGTGCGTCAAGGGGGGTAAAATGTGTCCTTATGTAGGCATTTATGTACACTGTCTGACTTCTGCTCAAGCTGACAAGCTGCCTTCTATGCTCAAGCTGTAGAATTATTTGTAAAGCTGCCATTGTTGAGCACTTGAAAGAGATATGCATGCTGTTTTTATTAGGAGAGTTCTTAGTACACCTGCTGTTGATGCATCAGAGAGATGATAGAAACACCTCAGCTAATAATCCATCTAAATTAACTACCTAAACAAGTGATCTGTCCAAGATGTGTTATAGTAATTTGGCACAGCATTATCCTATTATTGTATTAATTACTTTTTTGTTTTTTGTTTGTCATACTGTTTTTTCCATAATTGTCATGCCATTCTTAAAAATGATCTGAGTACTTAAAAGAGTGTTTTGTGCCATGTTTGGCTTATATTGTCATTGATATAATGTTGTGAATTGAGAAATCCTTACATAGACAACTTCAGGTTTTAGTGTATCTGATGGTGGCTTACCACTGTCACATAAAAGTTTGAATTCCATTCCATACATATGCTTCATAATTAGGCTTAGTCACATGATTC